CTCTCTCTCTCTCTCTCTCTCTCTCTCTCTCTCTCTCTCTCTCTCTCTGTCTGTCTGGAAAGAAACCTTGATAACGGACTGGACAGATGCTGTAAACTCTAATTGAGAGCTGACTTCGCGATTACATCTGAAGTTTCCTAAAAAATGTAAAAGAAAGTTGGAACTAAAGGAAAACAGAATGCTTTAAGATGGCTGGCAACAGTTCCCAGCACTTTCAAAGACTTAGATTTTGATGGAACATTATAACCACTCTTAATCAGTTAATGCTTATCTTTTTTTGTGACACAGTTGGTTATAGCTGTTTGCAAAAACACTTCATTATAGCTGTAACTGCTAGTAACTCAAAAACGAAACTACTGACCCCCAATTTTTATATTTCAAATTTTGATTAGCAGGATAAGATGCAACTTTTAGCTAAGTTTAAAAAAATCTGTACGTGGGGTTCAGAGCCACCTTTAATTTTCGAAAATTTCAACAACCTTCAGTAAGCCATAAACTGCATAAAAATCTTCAAGTGGCAGTTTTCATAGATGCATAAAGTGTTTTGGTGTAGAAGACAATTATACGTCAATTTTTTAAATCTGGAACAACGAACTGAGGGCTTTGTGACCTTATTGCGTCTGATCAGCCGTCCCATTTTCACACTTGACGCATAGGGAGGCCCTTATTTGAGACAGGACGCTTATTCGACACAGCGCTAATTTCGTTTTTGAGAAACAACCAAGTGTTCAAAAAAAAAAAGAAACTCGAGAGATCACTCGTTTGAAAGAATTATGTAGTCGCAAGGACATGATAGCTGAGAAACTCAGACGAAGTCCACTGTTTTTGTAATGTGGCATTACACATCTGAGCAATTAAGAAAGATCAACCTCAGCTGATACTACGGTGGCCTGTAGGGGACATTTCGTTATTTTTCAGCACGACATAAAATTTTGCTTTGGCAACTTAATTAAATAAACATAGCTTTCTTTTTTTTTCTCTTTGAGTTATTGTCGATCGCAGCTCATAACTTTCGATCACAACTTTAAACTCTCGATCGCGACTTATAACTCTCGATCGCGAGTTATAACTTTCGATTGCGACTTATAACTCGCTTTATAGAGTCCTAAAGTGTGACGTCACAAAAATAAATTTGAGAAATTATGGGATTTGGCGCCATTTTCGAATGGAGCGTCCTTAAAAAAGGGTCCTTGCCAAGAATTACCTCTTGATTGTAAATTCCTAGCCGAAATATAAAGGATGAAAATTTGGTACTGTCCCATATAAATCTCTCTAATTTTGAGTCAGTTCTAAACTGAAGGAACTGAAACAAGTTTTGAAGGGTTTG